AAACTGCGTAGCCGATCGATAAGGAAGCATTTGGATGATTAAGTAACTCAATGCACTGGAATGCTTCAGCGGGAAGCCACAAAGGGTAACCGTCTTCGTAAGGGCAATGTTTTAGATGGAGCTGTCCGAGGAAGGATGGGTATAGATCAGCTGGGGACCAAAAGCAGAGCAGCGGAAAGGAAGGGACTGAGAGCATTAGCTAAAGAGCCGTCCAGGTGTAATGCAGCTTCATTGATTGACTTGCTGGGCAGCTCTTGCTGTATGAGTTCACCAGGCTGTTAACATTCAGATTTTCAACCCAGATCAAACCATAACTTCTAACAATCATTTTGTGTCGTATTTTTTACCCCAACAAGGGTAGGTGCTGTGAATCACCATGGGAAAGAAAGGTAGAACAAAACATTGGAATGACTTAAAAGGAAGTGTTAGACTAAACTTAGGAAAAAGTCATCATGAAATGTAAAAACTGAAAATATGGAATACTGAGGATGTTTGGTATGTATATAGACAAAGGAGCAAGCCGTAATGAAGCTGTACGCACTGTGGGTTTGTGGCTTAGAGAAATGAAAAGGAGTTTGGGTGAGCTGAGTTTTCTGAAATTGCAACTTTTAAACATGGTGAAGTTGGGAGGTCGTTGTATGAATCTGCTTCTGGTTCCTGCCAGTTTAAAATTTCACATTTGAAATGAAACTCGGAAAGCAGAAAATGAAGTTCCTATGGCATCCACTTCTGATGGGGGGGGGCAAATCTAGGCTTTGTAGTTTCCAACTTTTCCTGTAGGAGGAGTTTTGCCCAGCAGTGGTTTGGTGGCTAGGACAGCAGTGTCTTTTGGTGAAGATATTTTGTGCAATGCTTCTATATTTAACCACCGCTTCCTGTATTTAAACTCACCCTGTACTTCTAGGAGTTGTGTAACATATTTCCAGAATTACCCTTCACTCCCGCTGCAGCGGTTTAGTAAGCAAAGGATGCATTTAGTGGAACATTTCCCCTGTAAACCTGAGGCTGTTCTTGTAGCTTTTCTTGTGTCCAGAGTATGGGTCATGCTTTTAGAACTGAAGTAAACGCACAGGAGCTAATGTAGCTGAACAAACAAAACACGTCTTCTGAGTCGTAGGTAGCACTTCCACTGGGACACAGCTCCATGCTTGATGAAGCTGATCAGAAGATAACAAAAGACGGGTGGTGAAGAGAAAACAGGCTTTCAGTTAAGGACAGGGAATGGGACCCTTGGCACTTGTGTGCTTTTGGTTAGTATTGCGTTGCAGGTGCGCTTGTATTCATGCAGCATATCCATGCTCAGAAGTTAGAGGAGGAATTTCATTTGTGGTTTCACCCCCCTCTGAAAACTATAGTCCTGTTTGTGAGATTGCGTATCGCTTTGCCCTGTTTCTCGTACGCACGTCTGTGCTGCTTCTGGTCGCTTACAGAGACAGGATACCGGGTGCAATGACGTTGGCCCAGTCCACACGAGTAAGTCCAGCCGCGGCTCTCCAAAGTGCCGCCGTATCTTTGTCCAGCCTTTCGTAATGCTATTTTCTTCCTTCCTAACAGTCCCTTTTATTGTTAGAAGCAAAGGCAGTTTTGTCTTGTCATTGTTGCTGTTGTTATTATCATCATCATTATTATTATTGGTGCTTATTCAAGTTGATACCTCTTTTTTTTCAGAATAGTGACATTCAGCTGCTTGCAGAATGACAGATGGTGACAGAATTTTGTACCTTAAAGAACTTAATGGATGTTAGCCATTTCCCAAATATGATGGAGTTTCTTTACATAGCGTTGCTCAATGTTTATGAAGGAGCTGTGTTCAATGAGCCATCAATTGCAAAACTGATGGCTGGACAAACCTGTCACTTACAGAATAAGATTTCTACATCAGTGGGTTTGATTAAGTGTTCAATTATGTAGCATTTGTTATTTACATAGGCAAAAAGTATATTTCTTTTCACATACAGAAAACATAGATAATAGAAATAAACTGTTCCCCAGTTTAAAATTACTATATTGACCTGCCTCTTACTGATCCATATAATCCTCCACCACCCACATATTAAATCTTTCTCGTGCTGTTGTCCTAGTATAGGAGTTGCTCTCTGGCTGCCTGCAAAGCAACACACAGTGTTGCTGTGTTTTACTGTGGCTAGCACTGGCTTTTGTACTCTTTGGCGTGGGGGTGCAATCTCAATTGGCAATTAGTTTTACAGAAAACGGATAAAACTGGCACTTTCTAATATAGCTCTGCTCCTTTCCTGCAGAGCAATATAGCTACCTGCCTCTTCCTGGGTATGGAAAAAGAGCAGACATGGCAGTATCTCAGTCATGCCTTGACCTCTAAAATTACATATAGGAGTAAAGCAAGAATACAAAGGTCAAGCAGAGTTAAACCTTGCCAGAGGTGATAAGCAACTTGATACTTCATGGCTATTAAAAACTGGGGTTGCTGTTCAGGAAGGATCAAGCTAGGATTAAAGCATTTTCATATTGCTCCAAATGTAAATGTGCCTGTTGCAAAACGATGTTGAAATGGGGAGAGGGGAGGCTGGGACAAGAGGACGTGGAGAATGGTGGGACTGGGTCGCAAGTGGGACTATGTCTGTGTGCAGGGAGCTTCTGGAGAGCCTCATGTAGGTGCATGGTGCATGGGCTGCAAGCAAGGAGGATGGGACGCAGCTCTCGGGACTGGCCTTCTGAAGGAATGAGCTTGTTCAGGGCAGATCCATCAGGAGGAGTACTGGTATGTCAAATTCTGGGTGGAAGCACATAGAAGAATCGAGTATCTTCTTGGTTAGGTTATTGTGCTACTCGCCTGTTTAGAAAATTTGTTGATGCGACAGTATACAATACGATGCCACATGGAAAGTCACCAGTGGTGGGCTTAGTACAGGATTTGGGAGAAAGGAATTAGGCTAAAGATTTGGGAGTAGAAACACTTATGAAGGGTGGGACCTGGGAGGGTTGACACCAATGAACGTCTTGAAAAATATTAATACAGTAATGCTCATGGTACAGAGAAGGGAGGGAGAATAAAAGAACCAAAATGAGAGGTTACTGCTCCAGGAAAAGATGTTGTTATCATTGCGAAAGTGATGAAATGCTTTAGAGGAATGTAGAATAGATCTAAAAATTCAGCTATGAAGAGTGTAATATCATACACTCCAGGAACTTGCATAGAATTGCTTTGAAATGGGAACCAAAATGCTTAGGCATCCTGTAATTCACTAAACTTATTAGCATAATGTAGCAATTGAAAAGTTAAATGTGATTTTTCTGATACCGTGGCTGCCATCATTTCCAGTGGGCAGGGAAGTAAGTGTCACAGTTTAACATAATATACAATTTTGATTAGCATGCCCTAGAAAGAAAGGGGCAAGTAGGTTGATCAGAGGGATGTAATAGCTATTTTAGGAAGAACAACTGGAAAGTTAGGATTCTTCAGGATGTCAGAGAAGTAACCAAAGCGCATTTTAAAAATCATGAGTATACTGAAAAAGGTAGGTAGAGGTAGATATAACTCATTGCCTTTTCCAATACCAGAACATCAGCTCTAGCGTAAGGCTAGAAGGCAGCACATGCAAAACACAAAGAAATGAAGTTAAGCTGTGAAACTCCTCATCACAGGATGTTGTGGTAGCTGCAGATGTACGTGGGTTCGCAAGGGATTTCACGAAGGAACAGTCTGTTTTGGACTGTTAAATACACAGATGTGATCTCTGGCTCCAGAAGTCCTTGAACGACACAGAAGTGGAAGCTGGAAAACCTCTGGCCTGACCAGGTAACGGCTCTTATGTGCTTGTGAGAATGCACAAAAGTCAGATCTAGGCTTTTCATCCTGGTGAAGTGAAGGCTGAAAGGAAGTATTACTGTCACGTAAAAAATACATAGTGGTAGCAGACATGGAAGAGAAGGAAGGATTCTTTAAGCTCAAGGACAGTGAAAATCAAAGTTGCTGGAAATCCACCAGCAGGAGTGGGAGACTCTGGGAGAAGCTCTAGTTGA